ACTGCGGGGAACCATGCAAAAAACGCATCTTCGCACGGGCAGCTCGTGCGTTGGCCAATTATTTTTAAATCGTGCAGTGCCTCTTTTTGTGAAATTTTTTGCGATAGTTGGTTGCCTCATTTTCTTTGTCCATTTTTCCTTCCCCCGCCCCGCCTCCCCCGCCTCCTTCCACTTTCATCTTTCGCCTTGTAATTCTTCAAGGTAGCGGTGCGTCTCAGTGGGAGTAGCTCCAACATCAGGCGTAAAAATGCTCGAGATAAAAGACCCGTTTGCTTTGCTTCTGGGTGTATTTCTTTCGTTCCTTTGGCCCTTTACTTCCGTCCTCCTAGAACAACAGTGGGCGCAAATTTCTGGTGTCTGAATCGTTCAGTATGGCGAGATGATGAGGCAGCGCGGTGTTTCGAGCGGGTTTTTAGTAAATATCTTAGGAATTGCGCTCAGTTTGTACTAGTTGCCATTGGTTGATGTATTGTTCTTGTAGGATGTATTGGCTCGAGCTCAAGCTGCTGCGGAGGCGAAGAACGAAGTGTGGACTATTCGGACGAAGAAGCTGCTTGTTTTGGGGATTCCGCATAACACCAGTGTGCAAGAGATCATTGATTACTTCTCGGAATGGGGTTTCGTTGAAAAAGTGCACATCTGTACTAATTTTACGCCAGGAATCGTTGTTATGCAAGCACTCTTTGATTACGCATTCGTCTTCTACACGGCGTATGAAGAGGTAAGCGTGAAGCTTTTCTTTTTTTTTTTTTAAATCACTGCTTGCACGAGAGTACTTCTGATAACAGGATGAAAGACTGGGAAATCAACAAGCACAACACCTTCGCTTCACAGTTGATTTCTCGCGGAGCATGTTCTACCGCGGGAAAGCGGCCACAGAGAAAAAGAGGGAGAAGAAGACATATTTTGCCCTGAAAGGCAAATGCACAGTAGATGTGCCGCCAGGCTGATCTTCGAGTACAATGGGTGGTGGTGTAGTGGTAACACGTTGCATCGAGACATGAGAGAGTAGGGGTCGATTCCGTCCCGGTCCAGAACAATTTTTGGAGAAAAGGCTTTGTTCACGACACTTCTTCACAATTAGCTCCACTATTAACAAAGCACCGCTGACAGTGCCGCCGACGATTCCTTCCTTCGAGGACTGTTTAAAAGCGAATCGGGGCAGCGG